CAGCTTTCCAGGGCCATTTTGACATCGTCCGCTTCCTGGTGGAGTCTGGGGCAAATCGTTGCTTGAAAACGAAATGTGGCAGTACCGCATGGGATTTGGCATACGAGCGTTGCCAGATACAAGTTCTTCTCTTTTTGGCCCCCTTCGAGCGGCTTGAGGCTGAACCATCCCCAGATAACAAGAACAAAGCCCGGAAAGTGGGCAACAGTTCCAGCAAATGTAGAACATGAGAAAGCCACACAGTTTTTGCCCTGACCCGCGATCAGTTGGGAATACCAACCTATTTTCCATGATCTTGACATCGTTTACCAAAGATAGACTCGGTGCTTCTTGCGAGGGAAAACTTGAGAGATGTTTGGCCGGTATTGGCTGGTTCAAATCGATGATTGCAATGAACTCCGAGTCAAGACCATTGACGGGTATTCCTCAGTTATCTCCGTTAGAGTGGCAGTTGCTGGAAAGTTTCAATCTGAAATCTGAAACTTATGTTGGTTCCCGCCTCACTGGGTGTTGGTCGAATCATGTCGTAATCATCAGTAGTTGCATCTGGGAGCTGTGCTGCGGGTTCCCAGGACTGCTCCACCAAAAGCATTTCAAGGATCAGGGAGACTATTTCTTGCAGATCAGGTATGGAAGCATATGGAAGCCCTAAAAGCGTCCAAAAGTGAGGTCAGACATGGTCAGTTGATGATTTCCCATTCCTTTTGTTTTTGTCTTAAGTTTTCAAGGACCCAAGAATTTGGTAGATGAAGTTGCGCCAGAGTGAACTCTGCAGTCTGACGCAGTCCGACTGCAATGCCCATCAAACACTTTGCGCCTGTTGTGAATCGAGTAAGTAAGTAGCATATATGTGCGGGTGTATTATATTTTTTTGGGGTGTTCTATATGTAATACATGATACCTGTGTAGTATATGTCTAAAAGATATTGCATACATACACCGACATGTTTGTAATTTGTATTTATATATATACACATACACATGCATAGATAAAACTAAAACATGTGTACCTCTCCATATGCCCACTTGAGCAGCACCAAAAACCTCCATGAAGGGATTTAGTATTCGGGTTCATGTGGGGAACCCCCCGCGAAAGCAAAACCTCCACGCGCGAAAGCCGCGCGAAAGCTCCGCGAAAGGAGTGCGTCAAGGTCGGGCCGCGAAAGCAGCGGCGAAAGCAGATAGATAGTAGAAGCACATTTCAATATTGATGTGCACCATTAATTTACAGGCAGTTTTCCGCGAAAGCAACCGCGAAAGATATTACGAAACACCTGTCGCCGCGAAAGCAAAAACTGTGCGCGCGAAAGAACCGCGAAAGCCGTCGCGAAAGCTTCTAAGGATTAGAACCAAATCGCTACCCTGTTTTCGACGCCGCTCACTTGTGATTTTTGTACTTGCGCATGCTTCCATTTTTCAATCTGAGTCGTGCCGCTCAGGAAATCCAGCATGATCACCAACGTTCCTGGTCAGTACGGAGCGTCCAGGGTGTGACAAGATTCGACCCTTGGAGACGGTGCAGTAGTCAAGTAGTCGGACTTCCCAATCTGAAGTCCGAAAAAAATAATGAATAATAGATTGGCAGATTCATGTTGGGGATAAGATTATTAACATTTATTAACTAATAATCTATTAAGATTAATGTTGGGGATAAGATTACTAACTAATAATCAAGAATCTATTAATAGCATCCCACTTATCCCAATCTGAAGTCCGATCAATGTTGCCAGTAAGCCCAAGTCAACAGTGGGAGATCTGGAAAATCCATGAAAATCCTGGAAAGTCCCGAAGTCAATCTCCTAATATCTTGGAACTGGTGGATCTGGGGTGGCTATAAACTGCACGGCGTTTGGGGTCAGCGGTTGTGACCCAGCCCTTCCAGGTTGACCCCCCAGAAGCCGACCGTAGTACCGTAAGCCGTAAGACGGTCCTCTCAATTTTTCCTGGAAATCATCTTTTGGTAAACCATGGTTGCACGCTTCCCTGTTTAACATGTTGACAATTGTTGACATATCTTGACCCACCCCCCTGGGCGGTGAACCATTTTTCAGTTTTTTTTTGAGCTTCACCAGGGTTTACTTGCCAATGGGGAAGATATCAATTACATTCAATTACTGCAATCATCCATGTTCCCAAACAATTCCCCATAATCATCTTCTCCAATAATTTTCAATTCTCCCAACATGTTCTCGTATTGGTTTCTTCATGTTTTTTTTCCAATTTGGGGCCGCATCCCAGTTTACAAGCGGGTCAGAACCAATGTTATACCCCTGGTGTGTATGGCTATATGGCTCTTATATATATATATTCACAGAGGGAGATATAATATATATATATATTATATGGCTCATACATGTCTTATAGGGACTTACAATGCCTGGGATGCACATCCAAGAGCCACAATATCATAATGTTTTCCCCCACTGTCCGTTTTCCCAGCTCCCAAGAGTTTTCCGCCTTTTCTTCCCACGTTTTTCCCAGTTCTTGGTGGGCCATCCAGGTCTTCAACTTCGTCTTCGAGCTCCGGCCGAAGGTGGGTCAGGCTCTCCCGGTGATCAAACGCGTCTTCCCCAATGCGGAGGCCGTGGCGGCACGTGTCGCCTCTCGGACCTCTGGGATCGATGCCATGAAGACATGGGGATGGTGGATTTTTATTTCCGGATTTCCCATGGAACATCTGGAGAAATGTGGTATTCCAAACTCTAGCCAGTCTATTTGTGTATGTGCCACAGCGAACAGCGAACTCCACCTGGCATTGTCACTGATGGACTATGATGAAGTCATATATGGGATGTCATCCTTCCCATTGACTTTCATATTTTTCAAGATGGTATTCCAATGTCACGTTAACATGATTCAGAATGGTGTTTTAATACCCTCTGGTAAACTAACATAGCTATTGAAAATGGCCCATTTATAGTTGATTTACCCATTAAACATGGTGGTTTTCCATAGCTATGTTAGTTTACCAGAGGGTATGTTTTAATGAGGTGTTAACTGGATATCCAGGGATCAACTAACATGGATGATGGCTGGTTTTTCTGACACGACTCAGTATTGATCAAAAATTCTGGGTTTAAAGTTTTGATGGGCCAAATGGATCCAAATGGGGTTGGTTTTATATCGCCATCAACTGGAGAGAGAGGAAACAGAAACATGGCTTTTTATGGTGCTGGAGGGTCACCAAGCACCAAGTGATGGGATCATAGGGATAGATTATAGTTGGTTGACTGTGGATTAAGCAGCCCACATTTTTTTAAAACTGAAATAGTCAGGATTTCGTCAATGAAAATGGAGATAAGAGAGATGAAGGAGATACATAATGCGAGCATTTGGCTAAAACATAATGACCTCACTGCGGCGTCACCGCAAATTGTGGTCTCCCCAGTAGGGACCTAGTGGGTAAATTGGGCACCTTGACATGTTGTGTTGATCCATTTGGGCAGCCACTGTACCACGCACAGAACTCTCTTTGCTTGGAAACATGATCGTGACAGACATTGGAAACATGACCTGCCAATCTGACGGCTGGAGCAGCCTGAAGACTACTTTGATTGACCAGCAGCCACAACATTTTTTTGTGCCCGAACCTGGACATCCCATATCCACTAGTCATTTGAATCTCATTTTGGAGCCAGTTAGATCTTCGGATATTTTGAGGTCCAGGAGGTAGATTTTGGGTTGCACATCCACACTTTGACTGCTGCTACCATTTTCTGTTGGTCATGCCTGGCAATGTCTGATTCAGACAGGCTTCCTCTTTCGGAGAGCTACTGGCCCAGGCTATACACTCATCAGGCTTCCTTTTGTGAAAATCCTTACTGTATGACTTCCTTAATACCCATTAAATACATTTAAATACCAGTTGGTTATGAAGTTATGACTTATAAGAAAATGGTGAATAAGCCATAAATATATATTAATTACAATGGGACATCCCTTGGCCATAATAAATCCATGACTGGTTATCCAACTCTTCTTGGTCCATCACCGCCCCCAGGTCCACATCATGGAACGGCACGATGCCTGAAGTCCTTGAGCACTGCATGTGGAAAACGGGGCATCCCGCATGATACATTTGGAGATGGGTCAAAGTTAAAATCCTACCACGGATTTTGGTATAGGTTTATAAAATAGATAATCTATAAAATTAACACACTATATAATTATTTGGGCAGCAAATTTTGATACCCATTTACTACCTCACAGTGGCCGACCCATCACCATCAATGATGGTTAGATATGGTTACTGCAGTAAGGCAGGAAACAGGAAACATGATGGTTAGTAGGGGAAACTATACTCCAAAAAACAATAGAAATCACCTTGTTAAACCGGTTTACGGTATGACATCTTGGATTATTTCTCCTGAAGTGTGCAGATGCATGGTATGATTATGACATATTATGATGTAATGTATTAACTCATAATTAACTGATTTACTCTGTACTGAGGACCCACCCCACCACCGTGGCTCCACATGGCTCCAATGAAAATGTCTCGCATCGCCGTGGTTTCACTCGTCACATCGCAACGCGCCTTTTAAGGGTGCTGTTGGAGGAGTCAGTGGCGCGTTGCGAAACAAAGGAGGAGCATGAAGTAACCCCATTTTTTCACCTGAAATGGGTGGCATAAACTGCAAAAAGATCAGGTAAACCTCCAAAATTGAAGGTTCAATATTGGATTTATGATGATTTATGGATTCCCATCATGCCATCCAGCCATCCGGCAGCGCGAGCGGGGTTGGTTTGTTGCTGTGACCCTTGAAGATGCGCTTTCCCTGGTTGGTTGGGACTAGCTATCGTTGTTCTTGCCTTCCCTGGTGATCCCTCAAAAGAGTCAATGGTTGTCACAGGTTGTTTGTTTTGGTTCTCGGTGACTTTCAGAAAATCACTGGAAGATATTCTGATGGAGAAATGGGGGATGCAAAAGCCATTTTTCAGGGACCCCTCCATAAGGGACCCTGCTGTAAGGGACCCTGCTGTTCTGCACGCCTGTGCAGGTGCTGGAACAATTCAAAGTGGGCCAGGCAGGGCTGAGGGAATAGCAAGCACCAGCTGGGGTTAGATCTCATCGCTGCGTACACATCCCAGCGTGGCAATATCATCCAGTAGCCACAGGAATTCACTCGGACTGTCGCCGTGTCGCTCCCATTTCGGGTGCTTGATCTGCGAGGCCCGCTGTGTGGTGGTGGCCATGGAAAGCCGGAACCGGACCGAGCAGGCGAGGGATTCACGACGCCGTCATCTGTCATAAGTTTTACCATGTTATACCATCCCGAAATCGGTCGAGTAATGGCAGGCAAAAACCCGGCCATCCCTCCTCCAGAGGACCAAACATGCAGTCACCTCCCAATCGAAAAGCGGTGAATCCTTCTTAAAATTATATAACGGTAAATGACTGTTCTATCTTTTTTGAGGCCGCTAAGTGCATATTAGTACCCTCATTTGAACTATGCATATAATATATATATATATATGCGTATAACGTATATATATATATATATATAACATATATATTTTATTGCACTTCGCTCGAGACAAGTGATTGTCGCCTGCTTGCTTGACCGGCCAAAAACTTCGATGATTTCGAAGCAGCCAATCGTCCACTTAATTGCCTCTACTGTCTTCTGTTCACCTCTTTGGGTGCATACTCCAGGAGGCACTGCTACATCGCCAACAATGAAAAAGGCTAAATTTTTCGAGCATGATAATCAGCCATCATTGTGGTCCCTGTTGCAGTTGGGTCGTAAGGATCGTGCACACCAGCCAGCTTCGTCAACACCTCCTGTAATCCTTCTGGATCAATTTCCGTGCCCTCAAATTGTGAGACCTCCAGATGACGAAGGTGTGCAAAAGCAATGGCCTTGGATAATCGCTCTGGATATGCTTTCGCTTTTGATGTTTTCCATACCGCTTTCTTTCCTTGCTGCTCAAGTCCACCCAAAGTTTCAGTTGGTCTCCATCCTTTTGCATATTGCTCGTACAGCATAGATGCGAGCCACGGCACTCGACCTGCCAGCATGACCGTGGGTTTAGCGAATGCTTGTCCCAACGGTCCTTGCAGGAACGTAACCAATTGGATTTGAGCCTCAAGCAGCATCCATTCCACAAACGACGATTTCCACACGGACCACTTCCGAGGGTCACTCGGATCCCCCTTTGGGTGTTCCAGTGTAATGGAGCCATTGTGGACATAGATGAGGAGTAAAAGCTTCAATGTAGCCAGCATAAGGATGGTGCCCGTGAAGCACTGCTTGACTTCACGGAGCGACAGATTCCAACGCCCCCAAGGGTGATCAGCATCACGTAGAGGCTGCGGGCAAATCATACCCTCAATCTGCTTCCATCTTGCTGCGCTATAGGTCTCGCAGGGCGGACCACCATGTCCCCCTGCGACTTTTCGCGCCAGAATGAGTCTTTGCCACAACCCATTTTCCAGCACATCTCCCACCACCGAATCCACAGCAAGATCTATTGCGATCGGGGTGATTCTGGAGTCCCAGTGCAGCCATGAAGCAATATCCCCTACTCTTCGATGGCCGCTAAAGAAGATCAAAAAATATTTCTGATCTTGCACCAGTGGTCGTGGAATCCAATCAAAATTTGGGTGCCACTGCTCCACCTCCTTCTTGATCTTCCTCTCCAAAGCAGACACATCAAAGTAGGCATTGCTGACCTTCCATTCCTTGACCTTTCGTGCTGTAATAGGACGTCCCCCCACTCCTGTAGGGAGGGTTCCCAACAGCTTCCATCCAGTCAATTCGTCTTCTGTGGGGTCGCTCCATGGGTCGCCCTCAAACCCACTGCAAGGGAGATGAGGTGTCATGTCTTTGCCATCTGCCCAATGCCATGCTTTCTCCACAACTGCATTGCTCACACCATGCTGGTGCAGCGCCATCCCTTGTTTACGGTCACCGTCATCGAGCTTCAGCGCCTCTTGACTGCTCAACGGGTTGAAGATCCTCAAATGAAACAACCAACATCGAGTCCCACCCCATTGCAAATGGCGCAACAACCGACATCTCGAATGAAAATTTTTGCCACAAGCACGGCAAATTCCATCAGTGGCAAAGCGTCTCATTGCCATTCTTTGGCCATGCTGTCTTTGTTGATGCACCGCCATGGCTGCATGACTTTTCAGAGTTTTACCGCAGTCTTCACAATAGACCGTGGTGTCCTCAGGTGCTGCACCCTCTTCAGTGTGGAATGTCCATCCCATGTCCTTGCACAATTCGGCCTGAAAATCTGCTTGCTTTTTCAGCTCCATATAAGTGCGCACTCTGTAAACATGAGCTTCTTCCACCTGCTTGATGGCCTTTTTTAGGTGCACCACAGCATCACGTAAATCATGCCATCCCTGCCATTCCACAATGCCAAAGATTTCATCAGGCAGTGTAAAAACACCAACTTGCAACTGTGCCCAACGCATGCTGGCCAAAACACCATGCAACCATGAATCCGGCCCGGCAATCCTGTAATCGTGGAGCACTGCATTGATGGCAAACTTGTCAAAAACTTGCAGCAAATGCACGAATAAACGCAAACGTTCAATGTGTAACATCTCAATTGGCATCGGTGCTCTCATTCTTGCCGCAAGCTGGTAAAGATCCTTGTGTTCAACCTCACCATTGTCATCTCTCCCTTCAAGCATTTGATACATCCGAAACAAAGCCGCAGCCCATGCATCCGTTTCACTCTGATTCATCGCAAACCAAGTGCTTGAATGAAGACGCAACACTGACAAACCAAGGCTTTTCACCAACACACGTTTGTGATCATCAGAAAACTGTTTTTGCATTAGAATTTTCTTGAGCGGAGCAACATTTTGTCTCGCTAGTGCTGCACGTATCTGAATCTCTGGCAACTTGGTTCCTCCTCTGACCACATGCCCTCCGAGATGTTTGTAGTGACTCACCAGTGGGACTCCAACCAGACCCTCATGCTCCGACAAAACTTGCAATCCATTCCGATACTGAGTTTCACATTCTCTGCGCGCCTCCTTGGCATGAGCACCTCTGAACTCCAGAATTGCAGCAGTCTTACCTTGTCCGTATGACATGCGCATTCCATGCTCAATGGTGACGTCCTTGACGATGGAAAGCAGGGTTTGCGTGTCTTGCGCCAGCGCCCTTGCATCAGCAAAGATTGCAAAGGCCACATCATCCACCCATGTCACGCAGTGCATCACACTGCCATCGTCACATGCCTGCTGTAGTGGGATATTCATCTCCATTGCTCTTGTTTGGATACATCCCAACATACGAGCCATAACAAAGCCGAAGAGCACATCGGCACAGGGGTCTCCTGGCCTGGAGCCTGTCCGTGGCGCAGCCACCCCATGTCCTTGCGGGGCATGGGGGACTGTGAACCATGTGTTGGCCAGGCTGGCTCCGATGTTGTCCGCCACGATCTTGGCCTGTGTTCCCTTGCGCGCCAGGTCCCCCTCCATGACGTTTGCCAAGAATTCACTGTATGCTGATGGTGGTAATTTCAGCGTGTGAAAGATCTGCGCAACAGCTTCCAAAGAGCCGTCAAAACCGGCCAGCATCGGTTTCACTATGCTGTAAAAGGCCGTTTTCAGATCAATGAATACAAGTGCGAGTGATTGTCTGCAGTGTCGCGCGTTGGATTGCCACATCCTTACTTGAAGGTGCAGTGGTTCTATTCCTAATCCTTTGCGACCTCCCCACTGCATGGCATGAGCAACATTCTCCAGACCTTTGACAATGGCTGGTCTCCATGTCTTGGAAAAGATCCTACCCAACGTGGGTTCCAATAATATTGCTCTGTAACCAGCCATCTTGCATGGATTGCCTTTTCCTTTGTATAACGGCAAGATCCAGCCTCCGGTGTGCTCAACCACTGCCTGCCTTCGAATCGCACTCTTGAGGAAAAGAGGGAAAACCCTTGCAACAGTCTGCACAACTTGCATTTGCCAAACCTCAGCTCCAATATTGTCAACACCAGTTGCCTTACGATCACTCATAGCTCTAACAGCTCTCTCCATGTCGTAAATCGTAGGGATCTTCAAGAGTTGATCGATTCCAATTGGCTCACATGTTGGAACTGACCCACCAAGTAGTTGTTGAAAATCCACCTGGTCAGCGTTTTCGATTGTGGCAAACTGCTTTTGCCATGCGACTGCCACATCCCTCTTGGATGTGTTCCACTTTCCCTCACTGTCCTGTAGACCTGGCAAATGTTTGTTTCTCTTTCCCTTCTTTTTGTCAATCATCTTCTTTGGCTGAATGATCTTGTAGATGTCGGAGGCTTTTGCATGGTGTAGCTTACTAACAGTGTCGTGCATTTTGTCTTGCACCCAATGCTTCCAATCTTGTCGCTTGGTTTTCCGGAACTGTCGATCCACACCACGACGAGCCTCTAAAATGACAGCTTCTTGCATCCAGCCAGCATGATTTATCAAATGCCATTCATCCACAGTTTCTTTTGCCAAGTTCTTGTCTCTCCAACACGTGAAGAAAAGCTTCAACCATCGCAAAGTGCCTTCTCTCTGAAGCCGTCGATGCTCTCGTCTAAGTTCTTTGCGCTGGCAAAGCATGTGCCAAGTCTGTTCTGAGAAATAGATTTGCCTTCTGACCCTTTTCTGAATAGGAAACCATTTGACGCATTGATCCTGAATGTGATTTCGCATCTCTGCCCAATGATCATTGGGATCTCGACTCCAATCACAAAAATCAAAATCTTCAAGCAAATTGTGGTTCCCTGTGCTCTTGCAAGCTCTTGCAGCATCACGATCATACAGTCGTGTGTTTCTCACTCTACCTCGTGCTGCGGTTGCAACGGTGACTTCCATCTTGAGCATCACCACTCTGTGATCTTTCTCTCCATTTAACAAATCAATTTCTTGATCAACCCATGATGATAAAATGCTGTCTCTGCAAATTTCTGATACCAGTATATAATCCAAGCGGTGTTCAAAGCCCTGTGTGCTCACATACGTACAGGACCTACCCTCATGGAAATCAGGCATCGTGGAAGGGATGAGAAGTCGATATTCTTGGCAAAGTTCACGCAACTTTTCACCAGCGAGATCCTCGAAATCCGCTCCAACCCCTCCAATCATGTCAGTTTCAACACTGCCTACTCTGCAATTGAGGTCACCAAGCACAACACACGGGACAGATTTGTTGATATCTCGAATGATGCTCCGTAGTTCACCCCACCACGCACCAATCTCATGTTCCCCTCTACCCCGTTGTG